CTAAGTATTTATTATTTATGTCTTGATTTACAAATAGCTTTACAAATGTAGAAGAGCCCTTTTTCCATTGCTGCATAACATATTCAATTACATTACAATGGTTTATAGGCATGTTCTCAAAGCTTCCAAAATTTTGGTCATCACATATGACCACAAAACACCAAAAGAAAGGCCATACATTTACGCTTGAAACACCACCTACCCACTTAGAACAACACCCAAAACATCAAATACACAACCATTAGAGCAAAGACACCAAATACAGTATGAACCATTAATTTTTTGAGCTCAACACCAACAGAGGCTGCAATCAAGACATCAAATTTCCTTTCAACAATATCATTCATAGCATTTGCCACAGTTTTCTCAATAATTTCATCAAATTTTTGTATGGTGTCCTCATCTGTTGTAGAAATGGTGTGGCTTGACTCAACAACTGCACCTCCATTCACTCTGTTTCTTAATTGCCTTTTCAATACTGAATTTTCTGTTGTAAGAGCCTTTTTCTCGGTAATCAACAACTTTAGTAGCTCAATGGCTCTCTCATGGGACAATTCCAAGTCATGCCAAACAAAATACGGTCACTTTAAATCCTGTCATTAAACAACCTAAAAGTAGTAAATAAAAATTGGAAGAAAACAACAAACAACAAATAAGTAAATAAAAATTGAAAGAAAACAACAAACAACAGATAAGTAATATTACATTGGCTTAAGGCAGAACCCCAAATTTACCTCATTCAAGAAGTGCCGGCAACCATAAAATCGTCTCCCAATGCTCCATGGTCTCCATGAAGTCCACCTTGGTGCCTTGAAGCCACACTCACAGTACATTTGAGGACCTTCATAGTTGTGCTCAACCAACCCAACATCCCTCACAATTGTTCTCGCCATTGCACCATCACTTGCACCAACAGAGGCTCGACCAGGTCCAGCTCCAAAATTAGAGGAAGATTCCATGCGAATAAACTCACAAATACCCACAATCTTTTCCCCTCGACTAATTTCAGGAAGGAATTGCAGAAATGAGAAAAGGCCTTGTGGTTTTGTGGTTTTGAAGGTTTTGTGGTTTTGAAGGTTTTGTGGTTTTGAATTGAAGAGAACCCTAACCCCCAACTTTGAAAACTCTAAACTAGGGCAAACAAGTTGGTCATCAAATATCGGTTAAAAATGGGATAAAGAGTGGGACCCACCAGTCATATTGTCAAACAAAGGGCGTGCAAATGACACGGTGTGTGAAAAAGAGCGGAATTTGTACACATTAGCATCCAGTGTGTGAAAAAACGACACGCTGGCACAGGCTAAACGGAGATCGTGACGGTGATGATGTCAATTGTTAGATAATGATCGATTTGGGAAGATCGATACTTTTGGGGTGTCATTTGTCCCTGCTTTTTTTTTTAGGGGTGGATCCGTCTCTACCCATATTTGTCAGGGGGTGATTTGAGGGTTCTGCCTTAAAAATTAATCTAATGATTCTATAAATATAATTAATAAAATTCTAAATGAAGTTAAATAAATATAAAAGATAAGAGATGCTAATTGAGGTATATAGAGTGAAAAATGCCTGTTCATTTTGTATGATTCATAATAAGATTTGTCAAATTAGAGAGATGCTTGACAAATGCCAATAACACTAAT